CACCATCACTGCAGTCACTACACCACCATCACTGCAGTCACTACACCACCATCACTGCAGTCACTACACCACCATCACTGCAGTCACTACACCACCATCACTGCAGTCACTACACCACCATCACTACAGTCACTACACCATCACTACAGTCACTACACCATCACTGCAGTCACTACACCACCATCACTATAGTTACTATATCACCATCACATCTACTCCCACTCCCACTACTAACTTCATATTACCACCATTACTCTTACCCAGGGCTATCTCATGGTGCAGTAAAGCATCCACGATAATTCTACTAGTCAACATCTACTGAATTCCTAATTTTTTGTCAGATATTATTCTTTTTACTGCCTTCATACTTGCTCCTAACAGCTCTTGGGAGGAGCAAGGACTATTTTTTCCACAGGTACCCCATTTATAGTTAATGAAACCAAGGCACAGAGTAACTGAACAGTTAGCTTACGGTTCACTGCTTTGCAGGTGATAGAGCCAGGATGCAGACCCAGACGTCCTTGCCCTTGGGTCTACATCCTTAACCACTTCCTGAAGTGCAGCCCAATGTCAAAACCAGGGTTGATGAGTTCAAGGTCCAGTAGGAGGTTAAAGGGAAAAGCATCCTCCATCCCCCATCTTGCTGGCCAGGATGTGGACACTTGCAGGGAACTATCTTAGACAGAGCAGATGAGGGCAATACATAAATGCTATCAAATGAACTCATAGCAAAAGGAGGAGAGAGAGAGGGAGGGAGGAAGAGCTACTACTTGGGTCTCCAAAATGGTGCGACCCCATTATTGGTTTTGTTCTGCTAAGGAAGAGTAAGCTCTGCCTGTTTGGAGCTGCTGTTAACTTTAGTTTGAATACCTGAATAACAACATCTGAACCACTGACTCAGCATCAGTAGTGACACAGTGGGCAAAGCAAGGCATGAGCAGTGAGCCTCCTGACAGGATCTCAGAGGAGCTGTCTCCAGCCTTGGAACAAGGCTGAGCTTTCTGAAGATGGCTAGGCCAAGCCACAAAAGCCAGACTCTCGGGCTGGAGGTGGGGAGGGGCCTGTCTCCATGACAAGGTGGCGATGTCTTTATTTATGTGGAATAATAAACGCTTCAGTCATTTTTATGAGCATAAA